TTGCATGATTTTTGATGTACCAGTAAGTGACACGTGCGTTGCACGTGGTTTATGATTTTTGTTAATTATTTATATATCTTTTAATAATTTACTTCATTAAAATTCATTAAGCTATATTATAAATAAACATTTAATAAATTAGTGATATGATTTAGTATTATGCTAATGTAGATTTCCAATCATATTGATTTTCCTTTATCTTGATGTAGCACTGTGTATAACAAAATCTTCATATTCATTACTAAAAAACTTTTAAAGATCAGTGTAACAATTATTCTTCTTCTTCTTTCATCTCCATTTTTGGTGACCTTTTTTCTCCAATTCTAGCATCATCATTCATTTAATCAAGTTGTAATGTTTATTGAAAAATATTTTCTTATACGATTATTTTTTTATTATGATATATTTTTTCTTCAACACCTCTCTGAAGACTGTATTAGATATAGAATCACTTGATAAAATACAATTATAATTAAATTATTGAGAAAATTAGAAATCGTCATAAAAAAATCATATAGATCGACATGACAAAATGCTAATATATAACCATATTCCGTATATACAAGCAGTGATATCTTATTAAGAAAAAGATAGAACTTTATTTTATAAAAAATATTAGTATAAACTTTTGTAGTATTTTAAGAATTGCGTTATAAAGAAAATATCAAGAATAATTCATAATTTAAGTTTTATCTCATATATTTTGCAATATTTTCATCCAGGGGCGAATCCACGGAGTGTTTGGGGGGGGAGGGGGGGGTGTGATTTGCAGGGGTTCAGGGCAGCGCCTCCATTTTTTTTTTAAACTTTTTAGAAAGCAAAAATAATTCAAAAGTCTAGCTAATGTAATATAAGCATATACAACTATTGAAACTCCTTAAATTGAAATAAAATTAAGCATTATAAAGTGGATTTTTTAGGGGAAATAGGCTAAAATATATAAATAAAAATAAAAAACTAATGAAAAAAAATCATTTTTTTTATTTTTCTGGAGGGGCAGCTACCCCTTGGGTTTTCTTAGTTACGTCATGCTTTCAGCTATCATAAACAATAAAAGAATTACTTTTAAATTTCATATTTTAATTTAATAAATAAATTTATTGAGGGCAAATTTCACTTTCTCACTTCGTCCTTTGACTTCGAATCATTTTATCTCCTCGTACTCTTACTTGTATCGATTTATCCCGTGCACTTGTACAATTGTCCCAATGTAACCTTCTCCGCCAATTTGCACGATTTGACCTTGAAGCTGTTAGTCAAGGTCTGATAAATTACAAGAATGGTGAATTCTTTGTTCGAGTTCTTTTGTTTTTACTCTCAATTCTAAACTTTTTGCTTTCAGTTCCTCATTTGCACGTGAAAAGTGTTTATCTCCTCTACTCTCAATTGCATCGATTTACCCCCGTGTACTTGTACAATTGTCCCAATGTAACCCTCTCCGCCAATTTTCACGACTTGACCTTGAAGCCGTTAGTCAAGGTCTCAAAATTACAGGAATGGTGAATTCTTTGTTCAAGTTCTTTTGTTTTTAGTCTCAATTCTAAACTTTTTGCTTTCAATTCCTCATTTGCACGTGAAAAGTGTTCAACCATTTCCTGAAGCTCTTCGTTTTTTCTTAAACTCTAACATCCTTTTGTTAATAATGCAACCATAACCTCGAGCTCATTCAAACAAATGAGGATCGGCCCGTTTGAAAGAATCACATTAACTCACTGGATAATTGCAGGATAATTGCAGGACGTGCATATTCTCTGTGAAAGCATATTAAACCTTAAAAGACTTACCATAGCAATTGACTCCATTTTCATTAAAATTAGTGGATGAGTTCCTGCTACTCCAGCTTCTTCTCATGTTACTTGAGCCCATACTTTCCGACTGTGGTGAACTATTTCCAGCCATACCTTTGTTGTGGAAGAAAACAACCAAAACTCGTGAAGAAAGTTGCTGGTTTTTTTTCTAGGGAAAGTGATTTGGGAATTTGATGGAAGAGGGGAGTGAAAAAACGATTCAAACTATTTAACCCAGGTGAGTGGGCGTTTCTTTAATTTCCAGACCTTGCCCAAACGGCCTCAATGTCAAAAAATCATGAAAATTGACGGAGAATGTTGCCTTTGGAGTTTGGCCAATTGTACAAGTGTCGGGGGTGGGCGGTAAATCGACGCAATTAAGAATATGAGGGGTAAAGTGATTCGAAGTTAGAGTAAAAGGGAAAATGAAATTTACCTATTTATATATGTTTTATCCTTACTGAAAATCTAATGATATAAATAAAATGAAAAATATTTCACAAATTAATTATTTTGAATCTAAACAATAACATTACATGTATCACATCCTCCAAAGTTTAATCAAAATCAAATTAGAAAGCTAAACAAATCTACTTAATTTTGAATAATATATTATTTAAATATTGAAAGTATTTTGATAGATACGTATAATAGTGAGTATTAATAAGGAATTATAATATGAAAAGTTGTTCTAATCCACCCAAAATAAATGTTAATTTAATTATATGGTGACAATTATATATATGTGAAAATATATGTTATTCCTCTAAAAAAAACATATATTATTTACTTACAGTAAAAGGAAAATCTCTAAAAGTTTGTTTTAATAAGAAAAAATATAATTGAAAGTTTAGAGTAGCTTAAGAATTATGTGAGATACCACAAAAAAATTTCAAAGTAATATGTAATATCAAAAATTGCATACCATTTAACTTAACCTTATATATTTGTTTATACTTTATTTAGCACCTCAAATTTTAGGACTATTTATTTTATCTAATATAATAAGTTGTGGAATTATTTTTCCAATTTTATCTATTTATAATTATGTGAACTATTTTTTTTCTTCTTTATTCTCTTCAAATTAAAATTAGTATAAATGATTGAATATTGACAAATTAAAACATATCATAAATAAATTATTTGAGCTAAATCATGACCAAAATATAGTCAAATAATATCTTATTAGAAAACTCTCTAAATGTACTTCAATATGAATAAGATATGTTTTCAAACATCAAATTATTTTAGAAGTATAATAGAAATAAAATATTAAAAAACACTTTGAATATGAAAAATTACTTGTATAATTAACCTTTGAATGAAATATTAATTAAACTACGTCATTGTCCTTTGATTTCTATAAACTCTAAAATATATGTAGGGATAATTTTGTCCCTACGTAAAATGGAAGAAACCATCCTAGCATTCCTCCTTTTATATATACTAGTAAGTGACACGTGCGTTGCACGTGGTTTATGATTTTTCATAATATTAATATATAATATCTATCCCATTAATATAATATTACAAAATTATATAGGAAAAAAATAAATAAAAAAATATAAACACTAAAACTTATTCCAATTACTTTATAGTTAATTAATACCTAATATCAATCTAAATGATATTTTTAATGATTTGTAAAATTAATTTCAACTCCATAGCGAGCCAACTCGTGGAAAGATGATGCACCAAAAACCATATCTCTCGGTGATATTAGTAGGGTTTTTTTCCAATATTGATCACTATTAGAATCAATATTTGCCATTATTGATCACTATCTCGGTGATATTTGCCAATATTGATCACTATTAGAACCAATATTTCTAAATATTTCTTCCCTTCTTTATATGAACAAAACTAGCCTTTGCACTTGTAAATTTATAAGGATAATTTTTTCATATTTTATTAACATAATAGTTGATAGACAATGAAGACTTTTAATATTTATAGTATTTACAATTAACGACTTGAGCTATGGTAAAATCATTAATTAATCATTATCACTATACCATCTGATTTAAAATAAATAATTATATTCAAGTTTTTGTTTGTCAAGTTATTTCTTTGCAACTATTTGTATTCCCTCACTCTACTTCCAAGGATTCGTAACTGCAAAACTCAATTTTTTTATGTTATTTAACATATAGTGACTTATTTATAACACAATTAATGACAATAAATATCATTAAACAACTCATTAGTTAATAGGAATATACATGAACATTCTATCGAATTGTCTTTGGGAATGTCAAAAAATAAAACAAACCAAGAAAACTCATTAGATTACTTCTAATATTCTCTCCTTTTTTTCTCATTTGCCTTCTTCAGTATTGATTAAAGTTCTTAAAGACTCACATGCCCATCCACTACTGTTGGTACATGTAACTTTTTATCTCTTCTAATTAATCGTTTTCTTTTTAATTTCTAATGTTTTAAAAGCAAATATGATGTTTTGCAAATGATTTGAATGCATAAATAACCACCATAATATATACTGGCAATTGATGTTGATCATGTAACATGGATGCTGTAGACGCATAAAATTAATTAATTGGTTAATTAAATCAGCTAATTAAATTGTGTCTAAATTAAATTATAATTTATCTTGCAAAATAAGTTATGGAGATAATTATCAATTAATTATTGGCCAATAGGATTATTTCTTCTCTTCCAAGTTATAAGAGATAGATATCAATTTAAAGAGAGCCAATCAAATCGCGCCACGTCATCAAGAAGACTTTAAGTAGGACTCTTATACTACCACTATAAATAGGGACCCTCCCTACACAATTCAGAGCACAACTCAAGAAGAAGAAAAACGTAGGAGAAAATTTTCTCTACACTATTCAAGTCATTCTTCATCAAATTCAAGACGTTCTTCGGCGTTCTTCAACAAATCAAGATCGAGGGAAGATTAAAGGGTCAAATCCATCAAGAACTCAAAGATCTTCAAGTCAAAACCCGTCAAAGTTCAACGTTCGATCCAAGATTCAAGTCGCAAGACCCTCGGAAGACGTTATTCAAATCCAAATCAAATCCGGAGAAGATCAAGTCAACGACCCGACTCCGAAATTCAAAGTCAAACGCATATTATTCTTGAGAGAAGAATCAGAGGATTAAATTAGAGTTTGTAACCCGCAATATTTTATTTTAATTCAATAAAATTATTTTTGTGCAAGTTTTTCTTGTTTGTTTAAATCGCAGATAAGATTTTGTTGCTACAAATTTTGGCACGCCCGGTGGGACATCTCTACCTCTCATCTCTTCTCTCTCTCGAAGATCCTCAAAGTGTTGCAGTGACTGCTCTACGTTCGCAATGAAGACTGCTACTTCGGATTCATCAAGTGTGGGCTTAGTTACAAGGAGTATGGTTAAGAAGCTGCAAGCATCCTCCAAGACTAGCTCGATGCCCCAAACCGTTCAAAAAAGCTTACCACCTCTTGTCAACACAAGCGCAGACGTGGAAGGCTCAAAACGAGAGATTTCACAGCCCATGCCTCATTCAACATCAAGCTACTCAGAGATGGCATCCGTCATGACAACAAATGCTATAACTATGGAAGAAACATCCTCCAAAACTAGCTCGACGCCCCAAACCGTTCAGAAAGGCTTACCACCTCATGTCAACACAAGTGCAGACGTGGAAGGCTCAAAACGAGAGATGTCAGAGCCCATGCCTCATTCAACATCAAGCTACTCAGAGATGGCATCCGTCATGACAACAAACTCTACAACTATGGAAGAGCAAATTGCAAGTTTGACCAAGGCTATTGAGGGACTCACAAAGCATGTTCAACAACGAGATTCTCAAATTGCCAAGTTGATTGAGAAGATGAACAAAGCCGATGCTAGTCAAATTGTGGAACAGATAAAGGCTCAAGACGAAGTCGAGGCATCCACAAAGAAACAGCCAGTTGAAAACGAGAAGGCTCCAGCTCAAGATTTTCAAGTTTCTCCAGAAGGGATGATTCATGTAGATCAAGTGATGACGCTGATCAGTGGAACCATCAAAGACAAGTTGGAACAAGGCTCGACGTCTCCATCAACCTATGTCAAGCCATACATGCAAATGATTGATGATCTAAGGATGCCAATGGGCTATATACCTCCAAAGTTTCAACAATTTGACGGCAAAGGCAACCCCAAGCAACATGTGGCACACTTCGTGGAGACTTGCAATGATGCCGGCACGTATGGAGATCACCTCGTCAAGCAATTCGTCCGATCGCTCAAAGACAATGCTTTTGATTGGTACATTGATTTGGGGGCAAACTCCATCGATAGTTGGAAGCACTTAGAGGAAGAATTTCTCAACCGCTTTTACAGCACTCGAAGAACAGTCAGCATGATTGAGCTCACCAATTCCCACCAGTGGATGAAGGAACCTGTTATCGACTACATCAACCGTTGGAGAAATTTGAGTCTTAATTGCAAGGATCGACTGTCTGAGACATCAGCTATTGAACTGTGCATCCAAGGAATGCAATGGGGACTCCGATATATCCTTCAAGTAATTCAACCTAAAAGTTTTGAAGAGTTGGCCACTCGAGCACATGATATGGAATTGAGCATAACTGCAAATGAAGTCAAAGAACCTTCATTCCAAAAGTCGTACCAGCTCAATGAAAAACATGTCGAAGAAGAACAAGAAGATCACGAGGATGGGGGCAAGTCTTTTGAAGAAACAACATCCTATGCAATATGACAAGTCAAATCAAATCAAGCACTCCTTGACACGAGTTTAAAAGGTCAACATGTCCAAATCAAATGAAGTTCTCCTTGACACGAGTTTAAAAGGTCTACATGTCCAAATCAAATGAAGTACTCCTTGACACGAGTTTAAAAGGTCTACATGTCCAAATCAAATGAAGCACTCCTTGACACGAGTTTAAAAGGTCTACATGTCCAAAAAAAAAAATGAAACACTCCTTGACACGAGTTTAAAAGGTCTACATGTCCAAATCAAACGAAGTACTCATTGACACGAGTTTAAAAGGTCTACATGTCCAAATTAAACCAAGGCTCCTTGATACGAGCATAAACTATCTATATATGCAAATCAAGTCAAGGCTCCTTGATACGAGCATAAACTATCTACATATTCAAATCAAGTCAAGACTCCTTGATACGAGCATAAACTATCTATATATCTAAATCAAGTCAAGGCTCCTTGATACGAGCATAAACTATCTATACATATCAAGTCAATGCTCCTTGATACGAGCATAAACTATCTATATATCCAAATCAAGTCAAGGCTCCTCGATACGAGCATAAACTATCTATATATCGAAATCAAGTCAAGGCTCCTTGATACGAGCATAAACTATCTACAAATTCAAGTCAAATGCTCCTTCAGTACGAGCTTAAACTGCAAATGTTTCTCCTTGTCCACATGAGTATAAATTGTGCACGACATCCATCAAAAGGATATATATTGAACTACGTTATAACTTGATCCCTTTATAGGGTACGTAGGCAACTTAGAATCTCTATAAGTCCAGTCATGATTTCAAAAGTTATATGTGCTTTGCTAGATCAAGCAACAATTGAAGTTGAGCAATTATCGAGACTCGTCCGCTCCAAGATGCATTGTCCGTGAACAAGTCTCGAGGGGGCATTTGTAGACGCATAAAATTAATTAATTGGTTAATTAAATCAGCTAATTAAATTGTGTCTAAATTAAATTATAATTTATCTTGCAAAATAAGTTATGGAGATAATTATCAATTAATTATTGGCCAATAGGATTATTTCTTCTCTTCCAAGTTATAAGAGATAGATATCAATTTAAAGAGAGCCAATCAAATCGCGCCACGTCATCAAGAAGACTTTAAGTAGGACTCTTATACTACCACTATAAATAGGGACCCTCCCTACACAATTCAGAGCACAACTCAAGAAGAAGAAAAACGTAGGAGAAAATTTTCTCTACACTATTCAAGTCATTCTTCATCAAATTCAAGACGTTCTTCGGCGTTCTTCAACAAATCAAGATCGAGGGAAGATTAAAGGGCCAAATCCATCAAGAACTCCAAGATCTTCAAGTCAAAACCCGTCAAAGTTCAACGTTCGATCCGAGATTCAAGTCGCAAGACCCTCGGAAGACGTTATTCAAATCCAAATCAAATCCGGAGAAGATCAAGTCAATGACCCGACTCCGAAATTCAAAGTCAAACGCATATTATTCTTGAGAGAAGAATCAGAGGATTAAATTAGAGTTTGTAACCCGCAATATTTTATTTTAATTCAATAAAATTATTTTTGTGCAAGTTTTTCTTGTTTGTTTAAATCGCAGATAAGATTTTGTTGCTACAGATGCCTTAACGGTAGATTTTAATATACTTTGTGTTATGTTGTTATAGGGTAAATTGCAAAATACTCCATGTGTTATGGAAAACATGCACCAAATCTCTCTGTGTTAATTTTATTGCGTGGGATCTCCCTATGTTTTATTTTATCTTGCATGAAATCCCCCATTCCTTTAACAATTAACACCGTTAAATATTTTTGGGGAATTCAATACATGTTTTTCATAACACAATGGGGTTTGGTGCATGTTAATTACAATAAAAGTGAAACTTATGTAAATTTTATTTATTTATTTTAAAGTTGAATTAATTTTTGAAATTAAGTCAAACCCGTTAATTCAATCTTTGAAAATCGAATTTTCAAAATTATTGATATAAATATTTATATCAAACTAAATTCAAATTTTCATAAAATTGATATTCATTGCATAATACATACACACTAAATTATATAAATATATAAACATTTTGATATTATAAATATAATATTTGATATTATTAAATAATAATAATAATAATAA